CTAAACCCTAAACCCTAAACCCTAAACTCCTAAACCCTATAAACCCTAAACCCCTAAACCCTAAACGGAGAAACCCCCTGAACCCTAAACCCACAACCCTATCAACTCCTCTTAGGCCTCGCCGCGCCTCGTTAAATTCATCCCGCAGCGTGCAGGTGATGATTGGTGTCGAGATGCTCTTGGCAGCGTTGATGATCTCCTGTACTAACCCTAAACCGTAAACCCTAGACCCTAAACCCATATGTATGTGTGTATATATATATATATATTGCGGTCATGCCTAAACCCTTAACCGTAAATAGTCGCTTCCAATTTCCTTTCCATTCTCCCTATATAACCCCCCTTAAATACCTTATAACAATATAGTACACAAGCCCCTATTGTATATAAATGCATTGAGGTCATGCCACTCCTCATGGTTTAGGGTTGAGGGTTTAGAGTGCGGAGTGAGCCACATTCATGGGTTCCCCTCGGTTCCCCCTTAGCTAGCCTCAATTAAGCCTAATTATCCCTGAGTAGCTCATTTCAGGGGGGAACCTAGGGGGGTAGTATAGAGGGGGGTAATAGTGGAATCCATGAATATACGGCTTACATAGTTACGTAGGGTTACATTGGGCTTTGTAGGGTTTAGGGCGTAGGGGATTTTCCGCAGATTATGCACGGTATGTACAAGGATATTCTTGGGACTATGCCGGGTTGTTAGGGTTAGTTTAGAAAGGGAATGATCTCCTGTTAAACTTTGCTCTGGCTAGCAGGGAATGAAGGAAAGAATCCTCATAGTAAGCCCTATATACCCTAACTTACTTCATTGCTGCTAACTACAGGTAAGATTGAAGTTGAGGACTGTGTGTTGGCAAGCTGGCACCCTACACCCTAAACACTGAAAATTCAGCTGAGTAGCATTTTTTGGTGGTTAAACCCAGTAAAATTATATTCCTTATATGGGGGTTGTCTAATTTTACTTTACCTGAAAACCACCCTTTCGCCGTGCCTTTCGCGAACCTTTCGCG